CTGAAGCAGTACACCTGAGGGATATGTCTGCTGGGGCAGTCACACGCGTCTTCATGGGACGATGGATCCCGAATTTTGGATTCCCACTCTCTATTACAACTGAAAACCGGTGACAATTCGAAAGCGGCTTATTCTTAGCTTTGGCCGAAACCCTGTGATTTTAAGAAAAACGACCTACCATCCTCAAGTTAATGGTAAGGTAGAACGTTTACACTGAGTGTTGGATAATAATAATAATGGCTTTATTCCCAAAACAGTACTAATGATACAGCAAGGAATTTTCAGCATTCAGTACAATATTGCATCTAATTTACTCAAAAACGACAAAAAAATTATAAATACACATTACATACTAATAATAAAACGATTGTTACAGCAGCTACATAGCAAAATACTGTATGCAATACGGTGAAAAATATGCATAAAGTATAAAATTGTAGTAATAATAGTAATACCAACTAAAATAAAATAGCAGAGTAATAATTAAACGACAGAAAGTGTGACACCATAAAATACAGAAAGATGAACTATGAAAGGGTCGATTTACTGTGCTAATTACATAGTAACTTATATGTTTCACGTCTAACAGAGTCTTCGTCACATAAAGTACGGGCTAAATAGGGTATTGTAGAATTTCTGTACTTAGTGGTACGAGCATATAACTTTTTATATTGACTTCTCGTCCTACCTGATGAGATACAGGGGGATAGGTGTGAATAAAGGGGGTGCAGAGGGTCTGACAGTATAGCCTTTGCCCATTTTGTACGGGAATTTACATGCCTCTCGACTATAGCATTGGCGAGCTCATTCAGTGGCAGACCACATGCCCTACTCACAGCATTTAATACTCTTCGTAAAATGACATAATCTTTTTTGAGAAGCCCAGGAAAGATTAATGGAGAGCAATAGAGTACAATAGGTAAAATACAGGACTCTACAAGTTGCAGAAGTGAAGGATGGTTGATACCTGATTGTCTTAACTTTCTAATGTAGAAGGTAAGACGAAACATTTTCTTAGAGATAGATAAGATGTATGATGACCATGAAAGGTCAGAGGAAAGAACTAATCCAAGGTATTTAATGCTTGACTTAGTTTCAATTTCTGTGCCATCTATGCTACAGGCATCATGGGAACTAACTAGTTCATGTAAGTCACGTCTGCGCTTCAAAGTAAAGTTAACAGCCTGACATTTGGAAGGATTTAACATAAGACCATTTGACTTGGACCACTTGTTGATGTCCAACAGAAAGCTATTAAGTTTGGAGCTGTCAGACTCGGAAGTGATAGGCAGTGATACAGTCAGATCATCTGCATATTTGACAAAGTTAGTTTCGTTTGAATGAGGCAGGTCATGTAGGAAGATAGAAAAAAGAAAAGGAGAGAGGACGGCAACTTGAGGAACATCGGATTTTGTAAGCGAGGTAGTAGAAGACTTGCCATTGTATACAGTATACTGCATTCTATCAGAAAAATAGAATGCAACCAACTCTTAGCCGGATCCTGTTTGTGTCAACGATAGCTTATTAAAAAAGGCCCCTAGGTATGGAGTCAAAAGCAGATGTGTAGTCTAAGAAAGCACTACGAACATATTTAGCACCTTTGTCTAGACAAGAAACAACATTGTGATATAAGACAACCGCAGCATCCAAGGTACTTCTACCATGTTTGTATGCAAATTGTTTAGGATCATTAAAAGGTTTTAATGAGGGTTTAAGACGAAGTAAAAGTAATTTTTCCATCAATTTTAAAAAGGGAGAAGTAATTGCAATAGGCCGAAATTTAATATCAGAACCAGAAGATGGTTTTGGTATGGGGATAATTTTAATGTTTTTCCATGCAAAAGGTAGAACGTTACCGGAAAAAGAAGCATTAAAAATGTTAGTAAGAGGGTAACACAAAATATCAGCACAGTTCCTGAGGACAATGGCAGGTATGCCGTCGGGACCAAGGCTTTGAGAAGGCTTAAGAGACCGGAGACATTTAGGAACATCAAGGGTATTAAAACCACTAAAATTATTGTCAGTATGATTTGTATCATTAGGAAGGATATCAACAGAAGAGCGTATGAAAGATTTATTAAGAGTATCGACATTAAGAGATGGGACAGAAATACATCGCTTACCGTTAGTAATTTCTTTAAAAAGTTTCCATAAATTAGAAGGGGTTTTACATGACAAAAATCTTTGATTATATAAAACATTTAGTCTTTTCATTTCGAGTTTTATCAGAATGTTTAACTTTTTTACACCAGGCTTATCATTTTTTTGAACATCAGTTCTTTATCTCTACGTAGCTTTTTGAGATATGGCGAAGAGAAGCGATCAAATCGAATGAATAATGTTTCTTTAGGACAACATATTTCGAAACAGAATTTAAGATAATCAGTAGTGTTTGTTTTTGTTTCATCAAGTGTTTGTTCTGTAAATAGGTCCCAGTTAGTGTCCTTCAACATGCATCTGAGCTTGTTTAGGTTGTCTTGTGAGTAGCATCTCCGGTGAACTTTACTGTAGAGGTGAGAGAGGACACCTTTGTGTGATTTGGAATATATTTTAGGCAGTACACGTATGATGCAGTGGTCAGAGTTAAGTAAAGGAGCACGTTTGCGAGCTTCATATATACCAACCTCAGGTTGGGTTATCAGCCACCACAAGACGTTCCTAAAATAAGTAACTTCTCTCACTGAATAGAATTAACCCTAGTTGATTCTGGTGGGGTAGTGATATAGGGGATCGACGAATTCCATCAAGTCAGCTGAACCTCAGCCGTTTCAGTCTCAACAGTCAGTTTGAAACAGAATGGTAATTATAACTTTCAAGAGAGAAGAGCTTAGCAAAGACGTTATGGTGCAAATTTTTGTGTCTACGGTCTATTCTTATAATCGCTAATAAACACACCTTTTATTAGCTGTGGGAATTATATTCTGCCTCAGTCAGTTGGAGCAGTGTTAAGAATAGCCTGTGGCCATAAAGGACTAAACTAAATGTAAATTTCTGAGTGAATGTGCAAATCAGTGACATTTTTGAAGGAAGCAGCATGTGTAATCAAGTATTTCTTTTTCATCAGTAGGTAGTACCCGCAAAGGCGTTTCCGCAATCTTGAAGCAACTCATGTTCGTAGTTAGATTCGAATTGTGTTCACTAAGTATTTCAGTCACACACATTACTGATGAGGTATTCATGCTGGTAAATGACCTTATGTCGGACTCCAGTCGGTACTTTGGCTGACCACTGTATAGAAACTTATGTTACGACTGTTTCTAGATAAACTGCTTTATTCAGATGACTGTAAAAACAATAGTGCACTGACTGTTTCTAGAACTCATCGCATATTACGACCACTAAATATTCGCAGTACTCATAAGTCTAAAGTAATGACTCTGCATTATTGACACCTTTAGTGATAAGGAGAGTGTGTGCATAAGTATATGAAAACAAAGCGGGAATATCAATATGTGCTTAATCAACTAAAACGCGCATTAAGTACGGACATATTCATGGAAAAATTTACTAGGTACGACGGTGGGCAAGTGGAGTGTGGGTGCATGGCGGCACATTTTGAACTGCATTCATCATTCACTATCGTTTGATAAAGAAGCTGAACCTAATATGTCATGAAAATGTAGTTATCGTTTGTTTGACTCCTCTGTATTCCTTAATCCTCAACAACCGGCTGAGTCATCATAGTGTTTTTAGTGCGTTGTGTTAGGTAGAGTTTATAGATTCACATATATCTACACAGTGGTAAGGACGACAGTGGTTAAATATATGTCAATATCAAAAGGTATTTCACGCAACCCAAGATTCTACTAACACTACCCACATTGAAACATCTCCACGGAAGACACTGAGTCAAGAGGGTGTCGGACAAAAACAGAATATTTGTCATATACCGACCGGATGTCACTGGATATCCAGTATATAAGAACTGAAGTAATTTAGCTTCAGCAGCACATTCATTCCGAATTAATAACTATTATAGACCCCTGCTTTCAGAGATTTGGAGTATTTTCAGGGTGAACCATAGAGTAGTGTGTGTTAGAAGGTTAAATTTACACTGAGGAACAACAACACAAACTGAAAAAGTAGGTCGGGTCCGCCGAACCTCTTCTTAGTGATCACATTGACAGAGATCCAATAAGTTCGACAGGTACCATAAGATTTCTCAGAAAGAAGGTAAAAGAGCTTCACCTATCCTACGTACAACCCATAAAGGAAGCAAAAGCCGTTCGTCGTTAGATCCAATGAAGTGGGCATAGACGGTGTACGAAAGAGTGTAGATGAAGCAGCCCTGTATGTTTGCGACCATATCAATCCTTTTGGCGTGAACATACTTAGCATTTGTGTTGATCAGTGGAGTTTATAGATATCAGACATGTGAGGCGAAACAGAAACAGTTATTTGAAGTAGTTTTTACAATACCACCCATGGTTAATTGTTGCTCGTGAGTTCAGTACGTCAATTCCCAACAATTGTGGAGACGGCAGTTATAGAAGAGGTATTCATAAAGACCTAATGAACTGTGCGAGAAATACCGGTTCTTACAGGGGCGCTAAGATGACACATGCCTAAATAAGAGCTACCAAGGCTGCGTTATCTTCCATCAACCAAATATATTCTAGTAAGAAGCGTAAAAGTTAGTCTTTTGTTAAGAACAGAGATCATTCAGTAGTCACATTTAACTAAGGTCAGCTATCCTATGGTTAGGTTACATGAGCTTTGTGGTTAGCTACTTAACTCAATCGGTTGTACCAGTTATTTAATATGACACCTGTCATTTGCAACAGAATATATATACTGGAATATATCACATATGCCCAACAAAATCGAATGATCCTGTTTTTTTGACCGGACTTTGTAGGAATAAAAGCATCGATCTCCTGCTCTAGAATCCGCGTGACATCTAGGACTATCTCGTAAGAAAAGTGGACCAAGAAACTAACAGGCAGGCGCAATCCCACCACAGAGATATTGAGCATTGGCGCGGTAGTCAACTCAAGGACATGGAGAACAATAAAGATCGAGAGGAGGAAGAAGTATTTCAAATAATAAATTCTCATTTGCTGCATAGGTTGATCAGCCTGTGCTAGTTGAAGAGCCTCTTGACCTTATCAGACTAAGTCTGGATGAAAAAATCTATGTAAAGATGAAACGTAACAGGGAATTGCGTGGTGTTTTGCACGTGAGTACTTTTTACGCATTAATTTTTGTGTAATAAGCTACTGAGTATACTGGGATCAATATAATTCTGTAGAATTATAATCACTTGTTGGTGCAGAGAATTGCTTATGATTGATTTTCTTTTCTGAGTCGGACTAATGGCGAAAAGATTGGGAACTAATCTTCAGGATAGCACTTCTCAATTTTATTACAGTTTACTCTGGTTTTGAGTGAACATCATGCAAATGGAAACTGAATGGAGATATCCGCATTATATTACGTACGTGACAATAACCAAGTAGCACTACATTATGTGGGCTATAGCGCATACACTGTCACATTATGCTTCACATTAATGAATGATTTCATCCATCTATTCACAGGCTTCAGGCATAGATTTTGACTAAGTAGGCCAACAGTCGAACGAACATTTATATCCGCTATATGCTTACATGCTGTAAGATAACCACTCAAAAAAAATTAATGTCAGCAAAAATGTCTGTTAAAAATTTATCACGAAGCAAAAGTAGCAAACTGGTGTATATTATGTAGAAGACGGATGCTATCATCCATTCGAGTGTACATCGGCCAGCTAGTTCCTTTAGTGAAAACTTGGATGAAGATGAATTGTACTAGCCACCCCAACACCAGACTTTCAGTATCCGACATGTGACAACCAAATCTGACTACGCCTCCTGTATTTGCTCAACGAGTCCCAAGAAGATCGGGCGCCCGATCACTTGGTGAATAGCGGACTGTTTAAAGTTATCAAAGCATGTTTACGCAGAGGAAGCTTGACAGTACAACTGCTATTTTGGGACAAATGGGATTTCGGGGTAGACTAAACAACAAGACCATAATTATCGAAGAATTGCGTAACACTATGATCGGTGGTCAGGGTGTCTAACGGTTTTCATTGCTCTGTAATTCTGATTAGTTGTTTAAGGGTAGGTGCTATAGTTAGCGTCATCAAAACGTGATTGGTAATAAGTAATATGGTGGATCACTATACTTTCACTTGTCATATCCAGTTGTGATGTGCTGTCCTTTAGAGCTAGAAGTCGTGAAGTAATTTTAGGCGAAAACTGACTAGTGTATTGATTGCTGCTGTCGCTACTTTTCATTTTATTAGTGTAAATACAGTTGTGCTGTGGAATCATTCCCATCACTTGATGGTTGTCTGTCTGTCTGTTTTCGACATAGAACTTTGCACATATGTGCGGTAGTTCAAGTCGCCACACCCCATATACCACACAAACCAAGAGAAGAAATGCATAGGATGGACAGTAATCACAGGTGTGAGACAAAGGAATAGTAATAACGAAGAACAATATAGTTTCATTGGACATCATAAGCCACAGGGGGTGGATGTATCTGCGCCAGCTATTAACAACGATCACTTTGAGCCATGTCACCAATTGTTTCCAACCATTGGTTTTTACCGTCCCGAGGACCCCAACCAGGAAATCTACACCTTCCTGCGTGTCTTAGACTAACTGTGGTAGATTTCATTGACTGGTGCCATGTTTTGGTTTGACCGCCGTTAGCTCTTTTCAAGCCTGACCCTATATCAGCTAACATCGCCCGTCGAGGAAAGCGATGACACTGTCCTAACCATCTCAGTCGATGTAACTTCACAACCACGTCGATTGATTTCCCCTGCTTACCTAGAACTCGACCTGATGGCTGCAAGAAAGCTGTTTGATTGCCACGTCGACTATAATGATGCTATATAAACAGTATTTCTAAATGATGGATTGCACATTTGATGGCTATTTTATATGTTTGATATTAAATTGCACGACTTGTACGACGACCGTGATCACAGATCAAAAGACAACACAACCAGAAAGGGGATATGTATTCACCAGTCTATCAACTAGCACATAATAACGCATCCTGTAATCGCTTGATTTAAAATAGATAGGGTCAGTGGATGATAGTCTAAATCTCGGACCTATATCCGCTTGCAGACGTTATTTGAATGGGATAAAATCAATTGATAGACTAAGTATAGATCCTCATATCGATTTAACTTCTCTAAAAATAAAATGATTATTCATTTGATGATGGCATGTGTTGGAAGTAGAGTTTTGTGAAGCAGTACACTGGTAGGAGCTTTTTGATGTGCTTTACTTCCTATTGTTTTAGACGTTTCTCCACGATAAATTGTGGTTGACGTTGTCTTCAAATTCATCGACCATATGTTGCCCGCCATATTTTTACATTTAGGCATCAAATATTTTAGACATATTGACGCAATACAAGTAAACACTGTAGCTAGCGGCATACACAACGAAAAATAACGGCCATTAGTAAATCAATCGAAAGCATCTCCCCAGTGATTTGTTTTTGTGTAGCTTGTAGTAAGAAGTTATTGGCATACTTTACCGTCCAACACTTATCTATCTCAGCTCAGGATAGATTCGCTTATTTTAAATCTAATCACTAGGGCATATTAAAACGAATACGGTTGACCCTATATTTATTGTTACTAAGGGTGGTATCCATTTTCCTGAGAAGTCAGCCATGCGGAAGTGCAAATTGCTTTGCACCACTTCTTTATTATTAGCATGCACATTATGTTTTTGCTTATAGATCCACTTCACCGTCTTATAAAGGTGACAATAATGACGCACTTATCTCAAGTTAGGCAATGGTGGCACAGCGGTTAGGATGCTGTCCGACCATGCACATGGTCTGGGGTTCGATCCCCGGCTGACGCACTCCTTTACCTTGCTAAGCCAGAAGTAATGCTGGTAAAGAGGGAATGTTGAGCATGAAGCTAGCAACCGTATTCTGTAAAATATACACTGCTACGGAAACTTCAAGCCACTAGCTCAAGGCCCTAGGTTCTACTGGGAACGTGAAGGGGAAAAAACAGGAAACAAAAAGTAACTTTAGGTGATAAAGATCTCTGCATATTCGATATGATTACTCTTACATTTTATCCGCACTTAGAGTGAAATACGAAATTAAGTGAGATAAGTCAACTATTTAACGAAGGTAGATAGAGTAATCTATACTAACTATCAGCAAAGTTCTAAAACAAAAAAGGAGCCTTGCTGAAAAATAGTGAATATTAATTAGTGTGGTATCGTGCCCTACTACCTACCAAAAGGAAGTAGTGTAGCAGTTAATCTTATTTGGAATGAGGTGTTTCAGATGTCAATCAAGCAGAAGACTAACCAAACAGAATAAAGTTGGTTAGATATATTAACCCTTCTACATATTCGAACATTCGCATAAATTATAATGCGTAGCTTTGCGTTAAAGTCATAAATATATATGAAAAACTTGGACCCTGTGGTTTACTAGATATAGCACACAGTGAAAAGAATCATTTATGTCCAGTCTACTTAAGCCAACCTCAGTGGAATATTTCCTGCGTTTCACGGCCATACGAAGTGGGAAATATGCATCCTACTAGTCTGTACCGTAGATATTTACATAACACTGTTTGAGATCATCTTGTCAGTGTCCGAAGCTACTACAACTCAAAGTGATCTGCACCATACAATGTCTCTATTTTCTAAACAATTTGTTTGTAATGTAAATTCACCTTTATAAAATTTGAGTGGCTATTTTCGTTTTCTTATTATAGGCTTTTGACTCTCATTTGAATATGATTTTGGGAAATGTTGAAGAGACAGTAACAACACTGGAGATTGATGAGGAGACATATGAAGAAGTTTATAAGGTAATTCAACTTCTCCCTGTGTTATCCTCTCTGTTTTTTTAGACAACAAAGCGTACAATACCCATGCTTTTCATTCGAGGAGATGGTGTTATTCTTGTCTCACCACCCCAAAAAGAATAACTTGTATAAAACATTTTCCAAAACCATGTTGGATTCTTGTATCTCTCATTCAATAAGACTTATTTTTTACCCATGTTGTATCAGCTGTCTTATCTTTCTTGAAGCGTCCCAATAACCAAACATTCCATGTGTATTAAACTCGTGTAAGGTGGTAATGTGTAAATCGAAATACAGGTCACCAGGAATCAGAACTGTAATTTCCAGTCTGTCAACACATATCGATAACTAAGATGAGCATCCAGATGAGTAGAACACTTCGTTCTCTTAGTTTCCGTCTGGACGTACGTCTAGAACACCATTTTTTTTTTTACCAGAAATCCTACAACATTGTCACAACAGAAGGCAAGGGCCAGGCAACAATTCATTTATTAAGGAAATCAATACATATTTATAGATTTTCATGTACATATTATAGATTATTTTTAGCAGAAAAACAGTCTTCTGATTGGTTATTTCTCACAGAAAGTTAACCTTGCATCTCTTTTCGGCTGTTTCTTGAATGTCAGATCACCTATTTGTTAACTGTATCCGCCTACGCGAGGCCTTTATGCTCACGACCAATATTGAGGACATAAACATTGACGTAAATTACTGTCCACTAATTTTGACTAGCGGCCAGCTCTCACCGTATATAAGTGGTGATAAATCGCGTGCTTTTCGAAAATTTTAATATGGACTGTGATAGGCGTTACTGGTTTGCGTGTCAGTGAGCTAGACTCAGTGAACCAGCTAATTTTTTACAAATTAGTCTTTATGAAAGGTTGATTTTGACAAAGAACTTACCAAAGTCAGATATTGATAATTAGTTTATAATCTGGCTTACCTGTCTCTACTTTATCATCAGTTCTTCACAGTAAGCATATACAGAGCCGATAAAAAATTGTGTGACAAATGAAGATAGCTTAGTCACAAAATGAACACGTACACAAAGTTTGAAAAAAGTCCCCACTGGCTGAAAAAATAGCTACACTGCATGGAGAAAAGACAAGTACATAAGACTGAGTGGAAACCATCAAGCAAAAAGGTATGGAAGAGCATCCTTCAGGTTCTCATTTAATTCTAAGCGTGACTTATTCAATGGGTTTCCCTGCGACTATGCAGTCGTCACGCCCTACAGTAAACCAGTGACAATGAGACAGCGGGTAGAAGATGAGTATATTGACAAATAAATTGAAGCTTACAGGAGAAAATCTCTTAAAAAATAAATATGAAGGTTACAGGATTCCATCGCGAGACTACATCGATTAGAGAACCGTTAGAAAACCTCCCGGGAGTACTGGACGGCTGTTTCGTCCAAAATTGGGACTTTTCATCAGCACGCATCCACCGGGGTTCGAACCCAGGAGCTTCTGGTTAAAGGGCGAGCTCGTAGACCACTGGGAGCCTATCTAATGGCCAATGACCAGTAGGGCGCATCAAGTCAGGTGCGAAGACAGATACTCGCCAAAGACATTGGCTAGAGGTTGCGAATTGGAAGAAGTTGGAGTTCATGGGCCATTGGATCGGGTCTCAGTGGCCTAATAGTCTACGAACTCGCCTTTTAACCAGAAAGTACTGGGTTCGAGCCTCGGTGGACGCGTACTGATGAAGGGTCCCAAGCTAGAGTGAAATAGCCCTCCAGTACTCTCTGCAGATTTTCCAATGGTTCTCTAACCGATGTCAGATCATGATGAAATCCTGTAACCAACCAGCCGAATCCCTACAAACCAATATTTGAAAATATGAAGGTATACTGAAATCACTAAATAGATGACCGCCTTATAATTAATGCTATACACCACTAACTCAGTATAAAAGCAGCTTAAGAATCAAAAGTCAAGTGTTAGTACGACACGAGTATCTGGTTCGTAGGTGAAAAGGTGTTAAACCCTCTAAAGTGAATTGCTTCAATACAAAACTCCCCGAAATTTTTCCATATCACAACAAAGCAGAATAATTCACGACTGTCTTTATCATACTGCTGTCGTATAAAATCACTTCAGGCAGAGACAACCTGATGTTTGTTGATTACTAGCAGTGGGATTAGTAAATGAGTCTGAAACTATTTGCGACCCGTCAGCTGCAGGTACCTGCATTTAAATGAGCAGTGACGCTCAAATAACTTTGGAACTCAGCGTCCCCAAATCCGATAGCCTTGAAAATGCCAAACTTGCCACGAGGATACATTTGGTTTGAACCCACGTGAAAGAGCCACAACTCAGTAGGAAGTCCTGCTGAGTGATGTAAAAATAGAACTTGGGGACTGAAGTCGAGTATAATTCCATTAAAGAGAAGATTTATTTTTATAAAGACTCACAGTGTTATGTCTGTCTGTTTTCGACATAGAACTTTGCACAAATGTGCGGAAGTTCAAGTCGCCACACTCCGTGTAGCACGCGAAGCAAGAGAAGAAAGTACAAGACTGATTCCGGCGAGCTCCGAATTCAATGAGGAGCGAAAGCTGCACAAGAGGAAACTTACGAAAAGTCTCCGCAAGGACCGTGAACAGTGGTGGGCGACAAAAGCCAAAGAGATGGAGAAAGCTTCGAGGATAGGCAACACCAGGCAACTCTTTGGACTCATCAGGGAAACGGGTGGGAGAAGACAAATCATCAGTGAGACAATCTCGGAAAAAAATGGCACTATAATTAGCTCACAGGATAGACGACTGGATCGTTGGAAAGAGCATTATGAGGAGCAGTTTAATTTGCCCACAGCCACGCTCAACCTTCCGAGCATCCAACACCTCCCTGAATGGGATATAAACACAGGTCCTCCGTCACTAACTGAGGTTACTAAAGCTGTCACCAATCTGAAACTAGGCAAAGCAGCGGGACCTGATGGAATGACTCCAGAGGTATTTAAGTACGGTGGAGACAGCTTACTGTCCGGATTAACTGAGGTACTAGGCAGCGTCTGGGAATCAGAAGAAGTCCCATCGGGTTGGTGTAAGTCACTGATTATCCCCATATACAAGAAGGGAGACAAGTCTTCCTGTGATAATCACAGAGGGATTAGCTTGACTAATATAGTATCTAAAGTCTTAGGCTCAATAATCATGCGTAGACTGAGTGGTGCTCGGGAAGCACAAACACGAGAGAGCCAGGCAGGCTTTAGACCAGGAAGAGGGTGTATTGATCATATCTTCACCCTCCGACAGATTCTAGAACATAGGCATTCCTACCGGCGTCCAACAGTCATTATATTTCTTGACCTAAAGGCAGCATTCGACTCTGTCGATCGGGAAGTTCTCTGGAGATGCTTGGCTGTAAAGGGAATTCCAAGAAAATATATTGCACTGATTAAGGCACTCTACTCGTACTCATACAGCCAGGTGAGGGCTTACGGCGAGCTGTCATCTGAACTGATGACGACCAGTGGTGTCCGTCAAGGATGCCCATTATCTCCTTTTCTATTCAACTTCATCATAGATGTGTTAATGGACTTAACCCTAGGTGACTTCAGCGACTCAGGGATTGACTTGCTACCGGGGAATAATCTCGTTGACTTGGAATATGCAGACGATATAGTCCTTCTAGGCGAAGACGCTGACGAAATGCAGAGTCTTCTAAACACCTTGAGCCGCAATCTACGAATGTTTGGCATGCGATTCGCTCCCGCCAAATGCAAGATGATGTTACAGGACTGGACTACATCGACGCCTAGTTTAAAAATAGGAAGTGAAGTGGTAGAGCACGTTGACCGCTTCACTTATTTGGGAAGTACCATCAGCCCCAACGGGCTGATCTCTGACGAAATCTCAGCACGAATACAAGGGGCTCGTTTCGCATTTGTTAGTTTACGCCGACTCTGGCGTAGACGAGATGTTCGACTATCGACCAAAGGGCGGGTGTACTGCTCATCAGTCCGCTCCGTCCTCCTTTATGGTTGTGAGACCTGGTCACTGAGAGTGGAAGACATGAAAAGACTAGCTGTCTTTGATCATAGGTGCCTGCGTTCTATTTCCCGTGTAAAGTGGCATAATAAGGTGAGCAACATGGAGGTTAGGCGTAGAGTTCTAGGTAAACAGGGGAAATCAATCGACGAAGTCGTGAAGCTACAAAGACTGAGATGGTTAGGACATGTGTTACGTATGCCAAGCCATCGCCTCCCTCGACGAGCAATGTTAGCGGATATAGGGTCAGGCTGGAAAAAAGCTAGCGGCGGTCAAACAAAAACTTGGCATCAGTCAATGAAATCCACAACAGTTGGTCTAAGCCACGTAGGAAGGTGTAGACTTCCAGGCTGGGGTCCTCGGGACGGTAAAAATCTATGGTTGGAAACAATTGGTGACATGGCTCAAAATCGTTCTCAGTGGCGCAGATGCATCCACTCCCTGTGACTTATGATCTTCAATGAAACTGTTTTGTATTTCTTTATTACTCCTTTGTCTCACACCTCTGCTCACTGTTTCTATTATGCTTTTCTTGTACTTTCTTCTCTTGCTTCGCGTGCTACACGGAATGTGGCGACTTGAACTTCCGCACATTTGTGCAAAGTTCTATGTCGAAAACAGACAGACAGACAAGAAAAGCATAATAGAGACAGTGAGCAGAGGTGTGAGACAAAGGAGGAGTAATAACGAAGAACAAAACAGTTTCATTGGAGATCATAAGTCACAAGGAGTGGATGCATCTGCGCCACTGAGAACGATTTTGAGCCATGTCACCAATTGTTTCCAACCATAGATTTTTACCGTCCCGAGGACCCCAGCCTGGAAGTCTACACCTTCCTACGTGGCTTAGATCAACTGTTGTGGATTTCATTGACTGGTGCCATGTTTTTGTTTGACCGCCGCTAGCTTTTTTCCAGCCTGACCCTATATCCGCTAACATTGCACGTCGAGGGAGGCGATGGCTCGGCATACGTAACACATGTCCTAACCATCTCAGTCTTTGTAGCTTCACGACTTCGTCGATTGATTTCCCCTGTTTACCTAGCACTCGGTGCCTAACTTCAATGTTGCTCACCTTATTATGCCACTTTACACGGGAAATAGAGCGCAGGCACCTATGATCAAAGACAGCTAGCCTTTTCATGTCTTCCACTCTGAATGGCCAGGTTACAGTGTTATACAGTAATATTTACTGATAACCAGGTTTCGAGCACAATTGATTGCTGCTCATAATCATATCAGCTCACTCGCACAACTTTACAACTTCGTTTATATAATTCCATTATTTTTTGTCGTTCGATTTGATTGGCAGTAGTATTTTCCATAATTCTGGTATGAACGATGAGTCATTCTTACTGCACGTGTTGGGTGTAGACTAGATGAACAATCAACCTCTCTCTCTCCACCTACCTATATTACTTTTTAGAATTTTGACTATGTCCCACCCGCCCATTGTGTGTTAATGCATGCAGTGCAGTTGCTGAGCTTTTTTGTAAATTGCTTATCTTCTTGGGGTCAATAATTCTAACCATAGCTAAATTCTCATTTTCCGATAATCTGACTACCGCCTATCTACTAGTTAAAAACAAAAACCTTTCTCTAGCTTCTTCACACATATAAATTCACTGGTGAAAGGGAATAAAATTCACATTTGAATCGCAAAATGAACAAGGAGAAGTCGCTATGATGTTAATTGTAAAATAAAACGAATAGAAGGTAAACTGCACACTAACGTTTATAAAAAGCCAACGCATTCCAATAGATATTTGGACTTCAAGTCATCTCATCCGTCTTCTGTAAAGGCAGGCTTAGTTAAGTGTCTAACAAACCGAGCAATAGCACTAAGAAAAGACCTAAATGATGAAATGAAATAGATAGAAGAAGCTGATTACTGAATGCTTGTTCATCGAGTCTACACCCAACACATGCAGTAGGAATGACTCATCACTCATACAAAAGATATGGAAAATACTACTACCAATCAAATCAAGCGACGAAAATAATGGAGTTATATAAACAAAGTTGTGTGAGTAGTGCCTTGATATGATTATGAGCAGCAATAAGTTGTGCTCGAAACCTGGTCATCAGTAAATATTACTGTATAACACTGTAAGACTTTATAAAAATGAATTTTCTCCATAAAGTTCTGTTGACTCTACTAAAAATCAAGAAGTTGGTAGGGCTGAACTGAAACAAAAGAGAACAATACGAAATTAGCAGACACAGATCGATTTGACGTAATAAAATAAACAACGAGAAATTATAAATACATGTATAGTATTGATTTATTAACCAGTCATAAGAGTAATAGCATTAGTGCCACCTTGTGAATGATTTAGAACAAATCGAAAATGCGTAAACAGATGTGCACATTTATTCGGTAAGGGGTTTCCAAGAGGCGATACTTTTACACACTCTACTAATGATTACACTATTGCAGCTGTATACCAAGAGACACAAAATCCGACTCATCGTTACCTCTCTTCACGGTGTAAAGCTTCACATTACGATAGAAGAAAGAGGAGTTACTAGTGATGTCAAAGAACTAGAAAAAGGAGACGATAGGAGAAAATAGAAGAAATATACAGAACATGCTCAACTTACAAAATGACAAGCAGATGCACCTGCACCGCTAATTGTCTTCCTTCAACCAACGGTTTTTATAATCATACATACTGGCCAGTACACTTTCTATGGCATTATGATAAACGGGATAATAAGTAGGAAATTAGTCCGGTATTTTTAACTCCCACAGCAGTGAATACCATAAACCAAGCTTGATGATTCAGTCTATGGCAGAACGAAAATAAACGGTTTTTGAATTTGCAGTGAAACATGATTTAACTAGCCTTAAGTTTCAGGGCAGCTGCTAATAGTTGATTCCAGGTATAAAGACCTACATATCATTCTTCATATGCCGGACCACGATTTTATGCCGCTGACGCAAATGACTGCACCATTGACGGAGGCTACTAATCCAATGTCTAGAGGGCCATACTAAATATGCTTCAAACAAAAATTCATCAAGAGTTAGTTTGTAGGCATTTGATCTGTTTTCATTTTGACCACGGATTGATATCAATTAGAGAAGTGGGCGGCTGTCTTGTTCTACTTTGAGATACTTCGACAGGGCGCGCCCGCCACCAGGGTTCGAACCTGGAGCTACCGGTTACATGACAAACCTGTTGACTACCATTCAGCTACTGATACCCAACTCAACGGCCCATGAATTAATTCTAACCTGGGCGTATCTGTGGTTTTAACGTGACTTGGATTGGTAGACCCTGCTGACAGCGGGGTTCGAATTCTAGTGGATTGCCGACTACCCCCCCCAAATTATACTTCCTGGTTTTCAGTAGTTCCCTAACTGAAATCTATCTGTAATCGGACTTAGAACAAATATTCATCAGATTATCCATTGGTTTACTTTTACCTAAGTGATATATACTTTGATTCTCTGTGGGTGCCGATGACTAATATTCTGTATTTGAGAGTCATTTGTCAAACTCGAAGCAACGTGCCTATATCTTGTAAAAAAAATTGATTGAAATGTTGGTTTGATTCGTCCATTTGTACAGAGATACACACATGAAATAAATCGATTGTTACCAATAAGTATTTAAAGATTGAGTGTGCAAATGTTACTAGGGTGTGAATAACATCAATCATAATTAAGAAAAATATTTTAAAAAAACAATTTCAGCACTAAAAACATTAGTTTACAAAATGTAAATGTAAAATGACTACATTCTCACTAGAAGCAAAAATGATAAAAATAGCGTTATTTTAAAAATTGTTTAAACCCCCCACACACAGAGAATTCAAACAGACAAATGGAAATCATTTTCACTTGGCTCACTACTTCTGATACGTAGGCTGGATTGCTCCATAAAACGTAGAATAACATCTGACCAATTATTACAAAACCATGTATCATTATGATGACCATCGGGGAAACTGACGAGACCATCTATCCCTGAATTGATAAATGTATTTGGGTCCTGGAAAGTGGACTACGCTTTGAAAAATTGTCGCGTATAACAACATCGGAACTTCGATTACTCAGCATATGCTTCTCAGCGAGTATGTTTTCATAAGCTTCAGCAAGCTTCCACATCATTTTCGGTGGATAATCTTGTCCTGTTCCCCTGAGATAAGTAGCATTGGTGGATAGACAAGAACTGATTTTCTTGTCTTACTACAATTTTGAAGTTTAACTAAAGAGGAATATTGATTAGAAAACAACCATGCTGGTAATTTCCATGGAATGTTTAGAATATGACTAGCAGTATCAGGTATTGAAGTAAATGTATTCTCAATGATGACACCACATACCTTCTCACTTGATTTAGGATCTGAGGCTAATTGAATAGCTACAGCTCCACCCAATGATCGACCGAATAAAAATATTTTCGCAGTATTGATATCCGTTCGTGATATTAAATAGTCCATAGCACATCTGGCATCAGCATAAAGTCCTTTTTCACTTGGTCTACCAGTACTTTGACCATAACCTCGATAGTCTAATATGAAAACATTACACTGGAAACGATTTTCTAAAACTTGACACATTGGTAGACGAGACGTTGAGTTTCCAGCATTTCCGTGTAAAAGTAGCACAACTGGACAAGTTTTCCTACTGGATAAATTGGATTGTAGAAGAAAAATACCAACGACTGTTGGACCATTTTTCCCGTCGGGGGACAATTTCACTAGCTCCCATGTAGTAAATCCACAAGTTGATGGATTTGTATACAAGAATTTAGACGGTGATGGTTCATTACATGCATACACAATAAAATGCTCTAAAAATCGAAAACAAAACCAGAAACCGAACAGTAGCAAGAAAATAGAAATTAAAAGAGATAAAGGTAAGACTACATAGTTAAGTAATACACACAGAGGTACGCCAAATGTAAATGAAAAGAACAATCCAGGAAACAAGGATCTGTTAAACTTTATTGGACAGCAAGGTTTCGAATTCATCAACCGATGACTACAATGCGAATAGAATGATCTTGAAAAGATTAAAAACCGACTAAATAAACTTCGCCGCATTGTGAAATCCTCGTTTAAACATGGGTTTGATTCATTATTTGCAGAGACTCCAGGTGTCTAAAACAGAAGAATTAAGATAGTGTTTATTGCAGAAATTCCACTTAACCTTCATTCAGATAATAAGATTAAAACAAACAATATTATGGGTAAATAATGGCTTTTAACAGTAAATGAAGTTTACGATATCTGTAACTTTAGGTTACTACAATGCATAACAATCTAAAAACAAAATAGATATAACGTTGAAACTAAAAAATGTCAACGATTAAGGTACCATTCTTCTCATCCAGAATAAATAAATCAATATTCTTGTTATACAACATCGCATCTCCTTTAGAATGCTATAAGCCCACACCTTTATCTGCATGAATTTACAATAACCTGTTACGCAATCAGTACCAAATTGCTGAAGTACGGAATAATAGGTTTAGCTAAACAAACATTGTCAAAATATTTCCACACACACACACCAAAAGAAGGATTTACAGTAGTTTGGTGTACATTGCTTCTTATGTTGTAGGTTTCAGTAGTTTAATAGCAGCATACGTGATTGGAATTAAAGCACTTATTAACACTTCCAGACTAGCTGCTAGTAATACCAACAAAAAATTTAATATAAGAACTCTTAATCAATCTGAAGCTTTTGAACAACTGGAAACAAGAGTGCTTAACACAAATTTAGACGAACATCATGTCAGTGACATGAATATGTAAGCCGAATTTGTTGTATAGGGCAATATCAAATAGTTCAGGTCTAATTGATGTATGTGTATCTCATTCACATCACTGATCAATAATTCTTCTCATTTAAATCTTACCGAAAGATTGTTGATAGCACTACACTGAAGTACAAAAAGACACAACCTCTTAATTAAGACGTTTTCGCGATTCACTGGCGGCCCTGAAGAAATATCGTATTACGGCCATTTTATTATATCAGGACAGCTGCCCAATACAGAAGGCTTGGGGCAGCAGTTATGCTGTTGTCGTATACAACTGAAGTAAAAGTTGAAGCTGTTGAGAACTGGCACGAGAACTATAAACGGCGTCTGATACATCGAACATTGCTCCTTACCAATATATCATCACATCGAAAATTATGCGTGGAGACTTCGTAGTATATATATATATATATATATATATATATATAAGTGGCGAAGTTGGATTACTCGAACAAACGAGGTGCGGCTGACCATTCAATCAGTAAAGAGACACTTTGAAACATATATCCAACTGCAAGGTGACAACCATTTGCAGCAGTAAAATTATCGACAAAAACAAGCCAACTTGGTACCGAAAGTCTCAGATAAGTACATGAATAATGCTCAAAAACATTCAAGTGAGCAGTGTGATGATAGATACCTCGGGTCATTTATATTTGGCTGCGAATGACAAATACTTAAATCCAGCCTCATAAACGCTTCAAGTTAATATTACTCGTTATTTACAACCTGTAGTTTTCAAACTACTCAGTCGCCATGGTTACAGTTGAACTATTTCAACGCATCGACTTAGCATTACACCCAAGTTGGTAGCTCTTATACAAGTTGACAATAGCACTGGTACCTAACTCTGGGTTACGAGGCCAAAAATATAGCAGATATCTACTTTTTTGAAGATATAAATCTATCACACGAAACCTAATTGAATTTAAGAAAAGTTACAATGTGATTTTAACGGCTAGTAAACGGTTGTTTGCACAGTTTACCGGCCGGAATGTTTAATAAACACATAGTCGCCTCTGGTGATAGCACGATCCTCTTAAGACATGAGAATGTGATACATTACATCGAAGGTTTTATGGAAAGACAAACAAATGACTAAAGCACGCCATAAGTAATCAACTATCTGGAAATAGAATATACTTCAAGATGCCTGGCATGTGGATGATGCTCACCATCTCTAACTGGCATCTCGAGTCACAAAATGTATCTGGAATTTGGTGAAATACAAATTCACCATCACAAAATCAATTCAGGAAAACCTTACATCTGACAGGACAGGATACAGCATTCTGAAGTCTGTATAAACTTCAACGAATATTGTGGCGACATGACATAAAATCAACTGATTAACAGTAATCTACGACGAAGCGTTGCTGTATTTAGAAACGAAATCTACTACTATTAACACGAAAATTACATATTAAATTATCTTTTCACTCAGTTGATTATAATAACAACACACACTCAGTTGTTCAACAAAGAAAAGGTTAGAAGTGATGCAGATTTCTGTGCCTAATTATTCAATTAGTTAGTCAGACTCGTGTTGTAATGAAAGAGTATTACAAACACATAGTTTTGAAGGGAGAAGTAAAGTCCTCTGGTCATGTATACAGTTTATTAATACAAATCAAGATAATAGAAAAGAACATTTGTACAAAAGTAAATAATCTGAAGTCATTTTTAGGAGCTTAGTCCGGCCTTCTTTTCTGCAATCACATAAATTAGTAAACGCCACATCTTGACAACAAACACCTCTGCTTCTTCATCTAAAACCTAAAAATAAAATGAAAAATCACAAAACGTTTATAATATATTTTCATAGTGACTGGATCAGTACTCAATAAAGCATAGAAGTGAAAATACCAACTAATCCCGATTCTGGTTGGATATGTTGGCAACAGAAAAATTTGGTATGACAACCATGTCCGGATTCAACATAGAACATGGCACCGAAGTGCGGCAGTTCGAGTTGCCACGTTCCAAATAGCACACAGAGGTAGACAAGAAGATGAGTGAAGAGAATCAATAGTTTGACAAGTATATTAGTGAAACGATCAGTAATGGTAGAAAGGAATATGAAAGATTACAGAGACTGAATACATCTGCGCCATTGGTAACGATTTTGAGCTATGTCACCTATTGTCTCCAGCCATTGATTCCTAGAGTCCCGAGGGCCCCAACCCGGGAGTCTGCATCTCCCTATCTGACTCAGTTTAACTGTCAAGGATTTCATGGATTGATACCATGTTTTTGTTTGGCCACCACTTACTCCTTTCAGACCTGCACCTAGCTTTATCAGCTAGCAATGCCGGTCGGAGGTGGGGGGCGATGGTTAGGCATGCGCAGCACGTGACCTAGCCATCTCAATCTATGTAACTTTATAGCCTCATCGATTGATTTTCCCTCTTTGCCCAACACTACGCCTAACATCAACATTACTTACCTTATTAAACCACCTAACGTGAGACAGAGATCGCAGACATCTATGATCAAAAACAGTCAACCTTTTCATGTCTTCAACTCGTATTGGCCATGTTTCAGAGCCATAGAGAAGGACGGAGCGAACTGCTGAGCAGTACACACGTCCCTTGGTTGATAGCCGGATGTCACGCCTACGCGAGAGATGGTGTAAGACAGCGAAAGCAGCTCGAGCTTTTTGGATCCGCGCTGAGATTTCGTCGCCAATCAGTCCGTATGGACTAGTTGTATCCTACATCTGACAAACAAACTGGTATGAAGCTGTGTGACTTATCCAAGAAAGATAGGAGAACGAAGCTCTCAGTAAAAAACACATGCAATATATTCACCGTATTTACAGCAGAAGAAAAACCTAAATCCGTCAAGTATTCCATGATTGTCTGGTATTGGAAGACTGTCAATGGAGTGCATACATGAAAATGACTAAGAAGACTTGTACCTCAGAGTGTTGTTGTTGTGTCCTCCGAGTGGAATGGTTTTATCGAGATTCTTTTATTGTCTTTATAAACAAAATAGTATTTCCATTAGAAGCTCAAAATGACTTAGTTCCATGACAAGCGATAAAAATGTTTAAAAAAGACAAGAATTAAGACTATGCCATAAAAGTAACATAACAGTGACATATGAGTATTATACAGCACTACCTACCATAGCTATATCAGCGAGGATACGTTCTGGTGGGTTGTGGTGTAGCAATTGATCACAGATAAAGTTGGATAAGGTAGCTTCAGCTTCACCAATATAACTAACAATCTTCTTATCTACCCAAGGCTTTATGCGGGAGTTTACGAATTCCTGAAAAAAAGACAGAGACCAAAGACGGTTTGCTTATTTTACTGATAGTACTAAATGGAATTTTAGAAAGTAGCAGAGGAAAGAAGAGAAATATCCCAGTGATAATCATATAAATACACTCAATAATCAAAGCGAATTATACAATATTGTATTATTGTTCTCCTAGGTTCCGAGTGGAAATGGGGCATAAACAGCACATCCCTATTTTTTTCTACTACCTACAGTCGTCTGTAGCTGGTCCCACAATTGTCTGTACACTCTTATCTCCTCCTCACGTGAGCTCGTTCTTGTGACTCTAGGACCCCCAACATTGGTCGTTTCCCATTTGGGTCTCACTCGACGATTAACCTTGCACGCGATTTCATCCAACGGTGTCCTAAGTGTCTTCACAGTCCAGTTCCATTTTCCGCGGAATACTTGTTGAACAAAAGGTTCTTGTTTTGGTTTGTTCCCACATTTTCTTGTTGCTAATTTTTTATGGCCATTCGATCTACAATATGCAACGAAGTCAGATGTTGAAAAAAGTCTGCTACCCTGTTGGAAGCGCTTTTTGTGAGGTGCTCGCCAAGTTGAAAATCAGAATTTCATTCTTTATGCTGAGTACAACAGATTACTAAACTGATTTCAGAATGATGAAAGTTCACCATGCCTTTTTGATCCTGGTTTTGACATCCCGATCCATGCTAACTTCCTATAGCTGAAACGATGACACCTAATTGAGGGAAAGATGTGACCTCGTTTAAATTCAACCCCATTGATAGTGATCGATGCTTGTTATTGTTGGTTGGTTATTTTTATCAGTACATCCGTCTCTTTTGCGTTCACTAGAAGTCATGTCTTTTGCTGCTTCTTCTGTCTGCGGGTTAGTTTTTCCTTATAGGTCTTCGAGTTTGTGTTACATTAGACATAAATCACCCACGAAATCCAGACTTTGGAAACAAAAAATAGGTTTAGTTATTATACTAAGAGAATGATAATGGCATTACCTATAGCATTTCAATACTAATCAACAACGATCAAATAAAACTGACAACTTACTGAATTCAACATAAAAAAATTTATCACACTTACCGCATCAACCATGTCCCAATCGATAGGATACGCAAATAACTCTCTCTTATGAGTAGGAATTCCCTCAATAATCTTCTTGATAATGGCTTTTTTTTCTTCTGTTGATAACGCAGAGACCGGAGGCAGATTGCTGGATCATTCTGAGCCGCATCAGTACCATTAGAATTATTAGTCATAGAGTTAGCTTTTAAAGCTGACGGTGGCAACCACGAGAGGCCATGCTTCTTCGGCTTTTCATCTTGATCCTCATCAGTGAAAGCTAACGCAGTTTTACGGACTACCGGTTCAACTACTTAGTAAGGATTTCAAAAAAAAATAATTAGAAATTAAACACGATATTCCTCCCATTAAGTGTACAGTACCGTCAAACCGTCAAATTAATAACACTATGTCGGAGAATCAGAAGATTAATCGGAGGATCGAATCACACCAAAGGCAAGCACATTAATGGGTAGCACAGACATTTTATGGTTTGCCTGTAGCTGTCACAAAAAGAGAAAACAGATAATCTAACCGACTAAAACTGCAGTTCCACGTATGAAAACACATCAAGAAATACATTTAAAATCTGAATACTTACTTTAGTTGAGAAGCATCAAAGTATCTAACCTTATAGTAAGGTCAAAGGTGACTTAGCTATTCACGATTTCGGAGTCCAGTCTCATAATATCGCATCCTTCTAGCGTACGTTTCTCGTACACAGTAGAAGAAACTTCACCGGCAACTTATCGAAATCCTAAGCGTATGTACCAGAAAATGAATTCATTTTCATGTCAGGGTACTGAAAATTTCCATCAAGAGCTAACAATGATAATAATAATAACTTTCACAATGAACTTACATCCCAAGCAACAGTCTCCCTGACGATTATAAGCAAACTGATTGCTCCGTCAACGAGGAAAATGTATGTAGTCATCAAGTCTTATCAGCTGCATTCAGATTTTGGATGGACATATACAACTTACCGCCCTCACCCTACGATGCAGGCTTCCACCTTTTCCAATTTTCCTCACTGAGCCACGACGTCATGGTCTACTTGAATTTGTGAATGCTTTAAAAATGATTATGATTAACAGCACAGAGTATGCCTTAAATTTATCAGGCATAACTATGAATTAAAAGCACTAAAATATAACAAGATCAATGGCAGATAGATCAAAATTTTTAACCACAATTACCTGTACTCATTGAAAATAAAAAGGTGTTGGTACCATCCTTTAGCATACTGACGCCTGTCTCCTCGGGGGCAGCCGGTTCGAACTCTGAGGTGACACCGTTGCGCGCTGGTGATAAATTGTTGGTTTCAAGTGGTTTAACCATACACTCGGTGTCTTTAGACTGCAATAGAGAATCACAATACACTGATCACACAAACCGTAAATATGACTGACACAAAATTCGAAGCCGCATATCATATATATACATAAAGTATGGTTATTATATTACTAAGAATTCTTATCCCTATTTGTTCGCGGGAGTTTACAACTCACACATATAATGTATAATTTGAAAATATTACCATAAAACGATACCGTGCGAGATAATTCTTCCATGTTTTTATGTCAACACTAGCGATGTCAGCATCAACAGTAAGATAAAATTGTGTTGGTAAATAAAATTTTGTTTCATATATGATTAACTCTCACTCCTGTAACTTAAACAGTCTACGCAACCAATGACTTAAACTTTTTGTTCTCTATGACTAAGCTTAGTTTTCATTAACATCATGTATTTTAATTAAGGTTATTCGTGATTTTAAAATTGAACCAAATTCATCACAAGAAAGACAAATGATCAAATATTTACAATTGTGATGAGTACAACAATAATTAGAGTATTCGCCAGGTGATAGTGAACAATTTCATATTCCAACCACTTGAAAATCAGAATATATGCATAAAAAAACTACAAACCTGCAAACGAAGGAGTGACTAATTTTTATGAACAGGCTGACAAGCATTTCTAATGACTGTAAGAACTTCAATAATTCGAGAAATGTAAACTATGGAAAGTGGATTCGAAGTCTACGATGGCATATAACAATGGACTTATGTGATTATACAATATACTATAATAACATACCTCATTTCAGCTTTTGACATATTTTGACTAACCGGCTCAACACATTGATCGTTGTCTTCAATAGAGTCAATAGACATATCCCCATCGAGATGTAAACACTTCCTGAGATGCTCCTGCATTTTTTGTTCCATTTGAAAAATAATTGATTCCGCATTTGGATCACCCTCCTCAATTAGCTTGCGTCTAGCTGTTTCAAGCTGCTCAACCTCCTTTTGTCGATCACGGTCATCGGCGGCTTCTTCAACTTCACGGTCTTTTAAACGCTGGTGAAGTGCACTTCCTCTGAATGTAAAAAAAGAACATTTAGCATAACTTTAACCGTGTTGTAAACTCCCAACATAATCGGAACTTTGAAAACTGCAAGGTTTAAGAAGTTATATAGCTATCTAGGAGCGCTGTCGGGGATCCCTTACCTGCATTAGTCACCAGTCGGTAATACCTACAGATTACAAGTCTGTAATTCCAGTTAAACTCTAACGTTTAAGTTTTGAATGTTATGTACAGTCACCAGACTTAGTGACCAGATATTAGGCGATAAAATTCAGGTGACCGAGGATTTCTGTCAACTGACTTCTGACAGACAAATGCACCGCTTACTTTAAACAACTCAAACGTAAGACTATCTTTTAAATTACAGAACTTAAGTTCAGTTACAAGTCCACTATTATTAAAGTTTTATATTTCCTAATGAATGAAAAACGATATTGTTTTTACCGACAATTTGCTATATGATAATGGATGAGAGGGTCGAAGAAGACAAGAAAGGAATATCAAATATTACCGAGATTCTTCAGAAGAGTAACTATCCAAAGAACTTCATTAACAAAGTCAACACCAACATTAAACAAAGTAGAAAACATATTTCGAAGACATAGACCTTAACAATTGTCATTTCATATAGATCAGAAACGTCAGACAATATAGGAAGAGCACTCAATAAACACATCAGGGTTTTCTTCAAAACATTACACACACACTATAAAGCGAACATATCTATGTAAAATACCGAATTCCAAAGGATTCACAATCTAATGATGTTTATAAAATAAAAAGCTTGGAATGTGACGCCACATACACCAGACAGGTGTCGCAAGAAATCAGGATCAGAGGTAAACACCATAGAGTATCTGTCCGACCACTGAGAAACCCAATTGAACTAGAAAAGCTTGAAAAATTATCAGCCATACGTTTACACCCTATAGAATCAAATCATAAAATCGATTTTGACAATATTGAAGTAATCCAGAAAAATTTCAGAAATCACAAAGTGTCTACTACCAGAAACACTTCATACTAAGTGGAATCAAAAGTATCTGGATGACGGACTAAGACAGAACTTCACCTGGTCAAGACATCGCCCTCCACCCTGATGAAGTCACATATAGTCGACACAAATCTGACAAGCAATTTCATTCCATATTAGTTTATTTATTAGATGTATCACACAGTGAAACAATATTGTATACTGTCAATTGTCAATAATCTCATTGGACAACTGTTCAACCTTGGGCTGACTGCTAACCTATTAGAATAATGTATTCTATGCTGACATAGCCGAACTTTTATTCGGTAAAAACATACATTCTTAGTTGCACTAAAGTGTGTTCCCAAGCCTCTGGTCTTTTGTTACTTGTGAACCTAAAGACTGATTTCACACTCCAGTAAATCCATCAGAGCAGCTTTGTTCTCAAACTTCAACTTGTTTTTCAGTTATTCCACCTTTGTTATACTAGTTGATCCCATCTTACTGTTTTTCAAATAATCATTCCGAAACAGTTGAACATGGGTGTTAACTAATGCAGCTTTGATGGAGACCACTGCAACAGCTGTTATTAGGCAATGTATTGTTTGGAAATACTGTTAAACGAGGGAAATGCAACGGCCCATAGTTACGATAAATGGTTACTTGTTAGACCTGAGTTTAAAATACATCTATCTACACCAAGAAGGGTGGATGTCAAATTCCCAAGAAAAACAAGCATTACCGCTAACCTGTAATACTTGGGATCTTCAACATTGTCATCATAATCTTCAAAAAACTCCTTTAATCTTTGTGCCTCTATTTGTAATTCACGTTGTCGCTTCTTTTCGTGCTCTCTTTCATGCTCGTATTCATTCGCCCTCTTTCTCTCACGCACCTCCCATTGTTTTAATCTCTATACAGCAAAATAAAGTAGAACACAAGATAACTTCGAGGAATTTAAGCAGAAGAATGAAGTGATAAATAACAAATGAATAAAATAGACCGGAAAACTACCCTGGAGTGATATCAACTTTCACGTATGGCACACATTAAATTTTTGAATTGTTACATAAATTTGCTCATCGGATATACTGAATAGAAAAATAGTATTATTTCTGTCAAATACATGTTTCTTAGTCTTTCTATTGATATCCTAACTTTTATCCGTCGGGACTGCAGCTCACTGACAAAGATGTCTAAGAATGATTTCATTTCTTAAGTATAGAAGACTGTTTCGAATCTAAATTAACAGGGTTGAGGGAGAGATTGACAACCGAAGCCTTATTCATGAAATAATCTGAGAGTATATACAGTGGGAATAATTCACCACGGATATTTGGAAAATCCACTACCCTACAACAAATATGCAGGAAGAACGAGAACTATTAAATTTGAGTTCTGAAGTTGTGTAGTTTTAACTGATGCGACTATGAACAATAGACTCTGCTTAAATACCAGTTAGTAAATTATACTGTTTGAATGTGTAGTAGCGAACTGAGTAAGTGCCACAACATCCAAGTTTCACATATACTGATTTCTAAATCCCTATACGTCAAATTTTTGCTATAAGCTTGCATTACGAAAACCTTGATTATGAGCTTTAGTTCTGATATGAACCTATTATGTCACGCAATTACTTACTAACTTGGAGCGGTACTGCCATGACATCATTTATGCTTTTTATCCATTTACAAGTGAGCGAAATGCGCCGGAATAAACATTAGTATTGAGTGTATCATCAAATGACATCCAAAATGAAGTGTTTATTGGGCTCAGAATACTTAGTTTGCAATAGTCTCTGAAGCATATTCATTTCTGAGGGGATCAATGAGATCATTCACAGATGTCCATGACGTTCTTATTCACCAGATTTTACATAATCCGTCTGAATGACTTAAATTAATGAGGGCTTAAGTTTCTGAGGGTAGATTATAAAATCAGCCATTGTTATTTTGTTTTGTACAACGGTGTGGATGCGGTTTATTAGCTTAAGCAACCGACTTACAGCCAAAGAATTGTAGTCCCACTCAGCTTGGGACTGTGTAATATCAACTGAAAAATCAAGTGCAGTTTTCAGACTATTCTGTCGTTGGAACACCACTATAATAAAATATATAGAATATGCTACCAGTTTTCCCACTTAGAAAGTAGACACTTAATATCCAAAGTGCCAGATAAACAACACAGGAATTGCTGTGTCGCTTGCTCACCATTGTAGAGATACTATGGGAAAGGAATCACTATCATATTAATTTAATGAATCAAGACGAAAACCAACCTTTTGATATGACTCTTCCTTCTCACGAAGCTTTTTCTCCAACTTTTTTTTGATCGCCTCTTCTTCCTCATCAATATCTTTACTGGATATCACAAAAGAACTAGTTATTGGTCCACGTGACCGACTGGAAGCCAACGAACTTGAGCGGCTTCTACTTCTGCGGGTCCTCTCTCGACGATATTCCCGCTCAACGCGTTCAGCATACGCCGAATATATTTGCATGGTTGTTAGCCCAGGACGCCCAGAATTTGAATTTTTTGAGCGTGGTTGCTTGGTATCATTTTGGTCTTCCTTCTGACTCAAGAGAAAGCGTATGATTTCAAAATACAACATTCAAAAGCCAAAATGAAAACAGACACCATACATTGCACAGGCAACACAATAAAAATAGAGCGGTTGCTCTTCAATACTATAGCACAGTATATCATCGTAAGAGACTCACCGATCCTGGCAAGGGCACACAAATGAAGGTTGACACGACAGACGCCATGCTAAAAGTCAATTAAATATCCCATGTAAGGGATTTCCATAACGCTGAGACGGAAAAAAAACTAAGTGAATGGACCGAACTAACACTAATTGACCTTATCTATTTGGTATATAGTATAAGAAGTAAACTTACATCAACTTTATAGGAAACTAAGACTGATTCAATGCAATACACATTCACACATAAAAGAATGGTTCAGAAAATCAGTCCAAACTGTCAATCTGTACCAAAAAAGAAATGGTATAGTATATTCTTACCTCGTTTCGCTTCCGAAAGCTCTCGATCTCACGATTGATTAGGTCTTTACGGTCACTGTCAAGGTCCATATCTTCAATAGTCTGGAGAGAAAATCAGCGGTAGGCGAATATTTCAAAATAGATCAATTTAAATGTCAAAATTACGTAATAACCTAATGTGATTTGACAGTAAGAGATATGCAGTTGAAAATAAACCATAGGAAAAATTTACTTGTTTTGGTAAAGCTGTTAATAACAATAAGCTACACATAATTTCGTCTCGCAAAGGGACAAGATAATGTAACTGAAATCTGATCGGTTTCTGACACGCACGAAATGCTGAAATAACTAGAAACTGCCCCCACATGCGTTAGTGATCACCTTTAGTAACCATTACCACCGCAATCTAACTAAATTGAAGGACTTTGGCATGCAATATCCACGCAACAGAGTGAATTCTTACAAGAGTGGATGATATATTCAGGTCTCATTACCAGACTAGTGGACACACGGAACACAATTCGGGGAGTTGCAAAATGCCCACATGTAACACAAAACTTGCAGAAAGTGGTCTGAGTACTCATACTGTACGATTCCCAGCAGATAATGCTAATGTGTTTTAATAACTCAAGCTGTTGTTTTGCTTGTTATATTTGAAGTATGTAGTCAGAAAATGAACAAAGAATCATGTTAGAAGAAAGCAAAACATACAGAAAGTAAACTACTCACTAGCGTTCACAAAAAGCCAACACACTAAAACCCAGACTTTAATTTATCGCATCCGTCACCTGCAAAGGGAGGCCTAGTTAAGAGTCTAGCAAACTAGGTAAAAACTCATTAGTACAACGGAAAACAATGAGATGAAGCGAATAGCATTGATGCTAAATAGCCATCTCATAAAGTTCATTAAGGTCTCAAAAGCTTGCAAGAAAAGGAAAAATATTGGTGGAACTGTTGATCATAACAGTCTCTAACCCAGGGACTGGAAGGATGCCATTAAAAACTCTATCTTCAAAAAAGGGGACAGGGAATTGGTATCTAACTACCGTCGGTAAGCCTGACAAGCATTATAGCAAAGGTATTGGAAACTATTATAAGGGATCAGCTATTAGCTTACGTTAAAAACATGGCTTACTGGCTGTAGAATAGCATGGATTCCGACCAGAACGATCCTGCCTGACAAGCCTACTATTGGCTAGGGAAGACTGGGTTGAAGCCAGAGATAAAAACTTTTTGTTGGACGTAGTTTTCATCGATCCTAGCAAGGCATTCGATAGAGTATCTCCTCAGTCAACTTAAAGGTTTCGGACGAGACCAATTTGAGTGCCTTAGGGGTTACCTAATGGATAGAAGGCAGAAGGTTAGAGTTAACAGTGTACTATCAGGTGGAAAGCAGTATCCAGTGGAGTGCCTCAGAGAACTGTATTAGGCCCCTTTTTATTCCAATTATACGTTAATGAACTACCGGGGATTCTTACTCCATCTTCACTATTATTTGCGGACAACAAAGATTTGGAAAACTGTAAATAACAACGAGTATATGTCAGCCCTATAGAGTGATCTAGATAAATTAGCTGAGTGATTTAACCTGTGGAGTTCGGAAATGAATTCCAGGAAACGAACAGAAGGACCTAGGAATCATTGTCAGCAATGATTTGAAAACCGTGAATCACGATGCAGCTGCAGCTAAGGTTTTTCGAATGCTTTGAGCATTTCGAAGCGCTTTCAAACGATTAGACGAGGGCATGTTCCAAATGCTCTACACATCATGTCAGGTCTCATTTAGAATACTGCATACAAGCGGCGAGTCCACGCTTTAAAAAGGAGGCACGTATCCTGGAAAGAGTATAAAGAGAGGGTACGAAATTAGTGGTACCCCACACCTTCCTTATGATAGGAAGATGGAGCATCCAAATCTCTTCCCGTTATCATACCGAAGAAAGACAGGCGACTTGATTTTAGCATACCGTATACTTAAGGGCGATTTAGGAACTGACCTTTCTAACCTTTTCTCCTCTTCTACGATAGATAAATTTACGGGGTTACCGCAAAAAAGTGCTCAAACAGAGGACGATTAAAATACATGCGGAATTTAGATTCTCTCAGTGTGGTCAACGACTGGAACTCCTTACCTGATTCAGTAGTATCAGCTCCATCGGTGAACGCTTTCAAAAAGAAGTTAGATCTCTGCAGAGATATATTTTGCAAGGATTAACACAAGCCACAAGAGCCTTCTATCCTTATCATCTGAATTTGAAGTACGAACGGATCCAAGGCATCCAGTTTTAGGATTCTTCCGTTTGCATTCGGTTATTTGGCAGTTACTTCAAACAGTTTTTGTAGCACTTAAGTCTAACCCATCATCCTACCTACCGGCTAACTTTCAATGAATAATCCCACACAGAAAGTAACGGATCAGTTGGATACAATCTGACACGAAGGTAAGAGGAAACAGCATACGACAATTAAACGTGTGACCAGTATGAATAACTGAGTCAGTTATGAGAAATGTTAGAAATATGTAGATTTTCTTTAGCAAAAAAAACATCGTATATGATAACTGCAGCGTGGCACAGTGATTAAATGATAATTCAGTATGAACCAACAAACCACTAAAAAACTTACGAGGTGGCGTGGCCCCTCCAGGTGAAGATCTTGTTTTTTACCACCGTCTGAAATATGAAACTTTATACGATGTGGACTCACTTTCATCTTCCAATAAGGAGGCGCTTTCTGCTATAATATTTTCGAGTGCCGCTTTTACGGTTTCGTCATCGCGCTGAGTTGACTGATCAACTTCCTCAGAAGTTGCTCCTAAGGTTCCCTCTTCACCAACCTTTTCTTTCTTCTTCCTATATTCATTCAACAAATCCTCGGTTTTAGGGTCAACTTTTACCTTTCACAAGAGTTATGAATAATCGCATTCCTACCAGCAGAGGTTTAGGTCCTACTTTAAATCCATTTAGAAGACGTACGCACCTCATTGTAGACTCGGGGTCTTCATACTCACAAAATCCAAAAGCCTGGAGTTTACCAGACGCTCCTTGAACTCGTTTCCAGCTAAGAATATTCCCACATCGCTGAAAAGAAATTTTAATAAGTCTTAACATGCAGACTACCATTAGTAACGTCTTGATGAGTTGATCTGGAGCACACTCAGCAATATTGCCGACGAAGACTGTAGTGACTGGAGGCTTTTCCCGAACGTATTGCTAATACATGTTAATTAAACGCGCAAACATACCATAGGAATTTCAGGAACTGTGGCCACAACTGCAGTAGCAGCTGGTGTCGCAATCACGGGTGGAATAGTGGCCACAGGAGGTGGTGGTATGGCAATAGGTGCCATAGGAGCAATGCCAACAAATCCTACATCATCATATACGCCATTCTAGACGACTTACCATAATACTGAGGAGCTATTCCATAATAAGGATTGTGAGGATACATCGCAGGTCACAACAGTCGGTTGGCTATTATTGTTAAATGGCCGACCGGAGAAAGAGATGCGAACAAACAAAAACTACGGATTGATTGGGAAAAGAAGTATAATCGAGGTTTCCTAGTATTTAAATCACAGCTTTTCATAAAAAAGATTGATTCAGATTTATTGGTTGAGGATAGAAGGCTTGGAACCTATGTTACGTTACCGCTCGAACTTTGAAAAGGGAGTTGATTTTACGCGCTCTTGTTTATTATTGGCTTTTATTGTGTTATACGCTCCAAAAGTCCACAGATTTAACTTTAAATCAGTTTATTCTGATCGAAGTTAGTTTACGTTTTAGATTTCAGTCTATTAAATTACAGGAAGTTGTGTTCTTATAACTAAATAGCTACATTTATCTATCTTTGTGTACTCATTAGCTTTTATCACTGATCTATAAAGGTTCATATATATTTGGAGTTGTATTTAATTTTTCCTGGTTCGTTTAAATAAAATGCCTATCAGAAGAAACATCTGCGGAAGGGCTATGTGCCAGTTTCCAGTAGGTGAGGGAATGCAGTGTGATAACTGCAAGAGATGGTTTCACAGTATGTGCATGAACCTTACTCCAGCAGCATACAAACGCTGCTACAAACCTCTAGCAAACTGGTTGTGCAACGACTGCTGTAGTACAACCAAACTCCGTATTACAGAAGCCATTGCTACTCTCAGTGGGGCTTTAAAGCTCATGGACTGCGAGCGTCCTCCACCACAGAAAAATACCGACTATTGCTCAGATAACGATGACGTGACTAGCGTCATTGACAAGACAGCACATGTCCTTGATGCGACCTTGCCAATCAGTGAGTGCCTTACAGCACAGAAGAACACCCGCTACATTCCAGACACCCAGGTTGCCCCCACGATACTGGATATCTATGGTCGGCCTGCAAAATTTGGTCTACCGATATCCATGCTGAAAATTCCATACTTGTACCGAAAATACAGTGTGGAGTCAAGCTGTATATCAAAAAAAAATAAAAAATAAAAAAATAAGCCCTCCAGTGACAGTAATGAAAAGACTGCCGTGAAGAAGAGGCGTACCAGGGGTCGAAAACCCGCAGCTCCAGTCGCCCAGGGACTGGCAGAACAAGCCTCATCCACACCGGTGAGCAGCAGACAGATAAACCCCATTGCGATTAGCGAATGGGACGCCAATGAATGGCGCAATGTAGTCTCTCGCAAAAAGCGAGATAAGGATAACACTTTGGCAACACCGCCCAAGAAGGATAGAAACACACTTACGCCTCAGAGCAAGAAAGTCACGGAAAGCAAACCTGATCTCTCTGACAGGTCTCTCATTCTCCACAGAGTGGAGGAGTCACTGGCCCCCGATCCTAAGGCCAGATTCGAGCATGATCTTCACTTGGTCAAGCCCCTTTTAGACAAGCTACTGCCACAAACAGTATCAGGCATTATACTACACAGCGTATACAGAGTAGGCCAAAAGCCTGACCCCACAGTAAGTGAGCCTGTACATCTCCTCAAAGTCCTACTAAACTCTAAAGCAGAGAGGGATGCTATTCTAACAAATCTCATATTCTCAAAGGATCAGGAATATATCTCCACGCCTACTTAAGCCTAGCAGACCGTGTCAAAAGACAGGCTGCGGGACCACGATTAAGTGAGCGACGCCGGAACAGCGAGAAGAACCTTATGACTAAGGGTTATCTGGTTGTCCGAATTCTCAGTTTAATGATTCCGAAACAACTGTCGGTGGGCCGAGTAAGCACCAACCTCCATTAACATTCTACTACAAAAACGCCCGCAGCCTGTTAATTAAAAGGACTGAAAAGGCTAACATGAAAGAATCCGGAAACCAGGATGGAATTATTATCAGAGAGACATGGCTCACACCAGATGTCACTGACAACGAAGTCAACCTGCCAAAATTCGAAGTGCACAGGGTAGACCGACTAAACCGCAAAGGAGGTGGCGTAGTCATCTACCTCAAGAAATCCTTAACCGTGCGTAGTATCGAAGCATTCGCCCACGATAGTGAGTCAAGCGAACAGTCGAAGCCTCGTAGTCGGCGACCTCAACGCCCCAACAGTTGACTGGTCGAGCCTAACAACTCCATCTTCAGTTAACTCCTTTGATCATAAACTGCTAGAATCTAGTATATCGCCAGCCCTAGTCCAACATATCATTGAGCCCGCGCGCTATGACTCACAGCACTCCTCCTCAACTCTGAACCTAGCGTTCTCCCACGGTGAGGATGTGGATCGCATACAACATCTTCCTCCGTTAGGAAGAAGTGACCATGCTGTGCTCATTTTCAAGTTCACAGCAAGGGCCAAAACCGCAGCTCGACCAAACGTTTGGAAAACTGATATAAATGCAATCGTCTCAGCAGCCAACTCAGTAAACTGGTACATCAACCCAGAGTACCAAGTAGAAGCCGCATGGAACCAATTTAAGCAACTTTACGCCCAAGTAACTGTACCTTTCATCCCTTGGTCTGTTCCAAAGGGTCGGAAACATTCCCCCTCCCTTGAATAAACCGGGAGATTCGTAAGTTACTCAGACGTAAACGCAAATGTTGGAACCTGTTTGCCACACTTGGGACTTTTGAGACCAGGGAATTATATGATACTGCCAGAAATAAAGCTATCGCAGAAATCCGCCAATCAAGGATGAAGTTCGAGGCACACCCGGCTCAAAATGCAATGGCACAAACCAAGAAAATTTCCTCTTACTTGAATTTCAGGAATAAAACATCCAATGGTATCCCAAACCTGATTATTGACAAAGATACAATCGAAGATCAAGAAAAAGCAGAAGCAATGGCAAACTACTTCTCCCAAGTCTTCACTCAGGAGTCATCACTGCCTATAGGATCAGCTCTGGCTGCATCAGAAGAACATGGGATAGATTCCGTTGACATCGACCAAGGCATCGTGCTCAACTGCTTAATGAAACTAGATGCAGGGAAATCAATGGGTCCTGACAATCTTCATCCAAGGCTTCTCAAGGAGCTATCAGCCCACATAGCCAACCCCTTGACGACGATCCTCAAGCTATCGCTCCTAAATGGAGTGTTGCCGCGTGATTGGAAAGACGCCATAGTAACCCCCATCCTCGAAGGAGTATCAAGACAAAGCCCTTCAAACTGCAGGCCTATCAGTCCCACCAGCACTTTAATCAAGGCTCTGGAAAGAATTGTCAAGAAAAGCATCATGGCTTATCTGGAAAATAGCAGCTTGTTATCTAGAGCACAGCATGGCTTCCGGAGGAACCTCTCATGCCTGTCAAATCTCCTCACTGCAAGAGAAAGCTGGGTCAAATCAAAGGACAAGAGAAGACCCGTTGACGTCGTCTTCATAGACTTCAGTAAAGCCTTTGATAAAGTACCTCACAAAAGACTACTCATGAAATTGGAAAGACTTGGTATCAAAGGCAGATTACTAGACTGGCTTAGGGAATTCCTCGTAGATAGGAGGCAGAGGGTTAGGATCAACTCAAAACTCTCCTCCTGGACAGCAGTAACTAGCGGAGTGCCACAAGGCACGGTTCTCGGTCCTCTCCTATTTATTCTGTATATCAGTGAGTTACCTCTGCTCACCGACTCCCCTATGGTCCTATACGCAGATGACTTAAAATTTGGAGAGAGCTGAAGGGCAACAGTGATACGTTAACGTTGCAAGAGGACCTCAAAAAATTGTCAGAGTGGTCCGTTGAATGGATGCTCTGATCAATGTGGCAAAATGTGCAACCATGCGCATTGGATAATCAAGCACAAGCCCCTACAAATTAGAGGGAATAACACTTCCATCAGTTCAGACTCACTTGGACTTAGGTGTCATAGTTAGCCATGACTTAAAAACCACAGCACACTGTCGCGCGGTGGCTGCACGTAGTTTCAGGTCCTTATGGGCAATCCGCAGTGCCTTTACTAGAATTATCAGAGATATGTTCACCTCCTTATATACATCTCTGGTGAGGTTAAGACTGGAAAACTGCATCCAGGCCGCCAGTCCTTGTCTGAAAGGGGATTCACACATTCTAGTAAGTGTTCAAAAGGAAAGCAACACGTATGGTTCACGGCATAGCTAACTTATCATACGAGGAAAGACTAGACAGTTTAAATCTCTTCTCACTGTCATACCGTAGGCAGAGAGGATTAGATTTTAGATTCATTGGTTGAGGATAGAAGCCTTGGAGCCTATCTTAATCCTTTTCTAGTAGATTTCTGTGGTTGTCCAAACCCTTCTTGAACGAATCAGTTGAGGTTGCAGACACCACTTCTTCTGGGAGTCGGTTCCAAGAGTTTATGACTCGATGTGAGAACCAGTACTCAACAGCAATATGATTTCTCCTTGGCTTTTGAACTCTCCTGCTATGTCCTCTAAGGTGTTCCGACCTGGTGGGAAGGAAAAGAGAGAATAGGTCAGGTCCGTAGTCATTATTTAAAATTTTAAACATTGTGATTAAATCTCCTCTCTGCCTACGGTATGACAGTGAGAAGAGATTTAAACTGTCTAGTCTTTCCTCGTATGATAAGTTAGCTATGCCGTGAACCATACGTGTTGCTTTCCTTTTGAACACTTACTAGAATGTGTGAATCCCCTTTCAGACAAGGACTGGCGGCCTGGATGCAGTTTTCCAGTCTTAACCTCACCAGAGATGTATATAAGGAGGTGAACATATCTCTGGTAATTCTAGTAAAGGCACTGCGGATTGCCCATAAGGACCTGAAACTACGTGCAGCCACCGCGCGACAGTGTGCTGTGGTTTTTAAGTCATGGCTAACTATGACACCTAAGTCCAAGTGAGTCTGAACTGATGGAAGTGTTATTCCCTCTAATTTGTAGGGGCTTGTGCTTGATTATCCAATGCGCATGGTTGCACATTTTGCCACATTGATCAGAGCATCCATTCAACGGACCACTCTGACAATTTTTTGAGGTCCTCTTGCAACGTTAACGTATCACTGTTGCCCTTCAGCTCTCTCCAAATTTTTAAG